AGGGATGACTAATAGCGTGGCACGGTCATGTATTTTGGATGCTTACCCAAGAAAATAATGTTTCTGTGTTTGCTTACAGTCCTTGTTACCACACAGTGATGTTAAACAGACTGAGCGGGGGTTAGATAAGGTTGATAAGTACTGAATACAGCTTGTACTTACTGGCGCTATAATGTCTTGCTCATGATATATATTTACACCCATACTTTTCTAACATATAGTCCTGTGGAACTTTTTTACTCTAATGAAGTTACAGCCCTTAATTGTTGACCATGGATCCCAAATAAAGGTCCTTTAAATCTGACTAAAAGCCAGCAGGGAAAGAAAGATCACCATCTTTCTTGTAACTGCTAACCTTACGGGGAAATTGTAGCTAGCTTGATTTGGTGCTGTGGTTTGACTTGGCAAAGAAACAGATGAACAGAGATAAGTGATGGAGATTAATATGTACCCTATAAAACAAATAAATGTAGCTATACATAGCCCATCTGATCATGATTATGTTGTCTTTTGAACACCATGTATGGCTAAATGAAGCTGCTCTTGCAATGGAAAATATTGTGGATCACCTGACTGAAAAAAAGACTGTTGCATAACAGTTTTATTTCTAAGGAAACATTAAATGGTAAGACACGGGTGCTTTGGCAATCTATACCTATTGTAGTGCACTGGGTGTGTGCAGTATTTTTATTTCCTTATACTGACTGTATTATGGTTACTGCCTACTGATGACTATCCTAAAGTCCACCTTTTTGTCCAGATCAGAAGGATTATGTAAGGAATTCCCATTTTAGGTTAGGGCAAGAACTGACCTTAAGCAACAGACTGCAAAATAAGGTCCATCCATGATTGTTACAGGGGCTCAAGATAAGAGTCAGTGTCTGTTTTTTTTTTTTTATACTCCAACACACAGATGCTGATGAATCAATTTGGAAAAAAAAAATACATTATATAATTGTTTCAGTCTGTGTTTCATCTCAGAAGCGCCTACTGACAGATTTGCTTGATCATTTCTGTTATGTAAGATGTTTATTACTACGCTTGGTTGTATAGATGGTTTTTATGTTAGAGAAGATTTTGTTTCAGCCTTCCATCCTCATCATTCCAGCTACTTTGACATCTTAATCGTACAAACTAATAAACAATCTCACTGAGAGTGGGCTGTCGGCAGCAGGGAGAACTATCAGGAGTGTCCATTGCTTTTGCTGCATCTTGACCTCTATATACATGATGTAATAATGAGTAGCCAATCCCTTTGTGCCTCTAAAAACAAAAGCATTTCACTCATTCAGTCGTTAGATTAAAAGAAAAATAAAGGTTGATGTTTCTACTGGAATGTATTGCAACGTAGTCTAGTTACGTCATATAGCTGAACAATGCTGCCACAGGATGATTAATAAGGGTGTGGGTTTTTCTAAAATTGTGAAATGGCTTATGTCAAGTGTAAAATGCTGTTGTACTGAAGGAAACTGCTGCGATGGAAAGAGCAGGGTTCATTGAAAATGTCAGACGTGTGACTGCTGTAGATGGCTGGATTTGTGTGGGCGATGCTCTCCTAAGGGAGATTCCTTGTTGTATCTGTATAATACACAGCGACAGGTGCCTTAAGTCAACCAACAAGGTTGCTGCTGTTGGACCAAGAAGGAGGACTATCTGGGAAAACAGTATGTCAGATGCTGGGTGCTGTATTTAGATTTTTCTTGAGTTGGAAAGAAATACAAAATGTGGAGATTGTGCTACAGGTCTGCTAGAGGGATTGATGACTCTAAAATTAACCTGGGGGAAAACACAAAATAGTGATCCACATGGAACAGTACTTTTTTAGTATGTTCATTCATTTCATTTCATTCATTTATTTGTTCATTTCAGGCACAACAAAAATACATATATTAAATATAAAGTGCACAAAACAAAAAACAAAAATTACCTGAAAAGGAGGTAATTTAAGTAAGCCTAGACTGGCTTACCCCTTTAAAGTTAAACCTTGATGATAACTGCGTACTGTCATATTTTCATTGTTGTTGTTTCCTGTACTTTAAATGAAAAGATTTCTATTGATACACAGTGTTTTTCTTTTTCTCTGCAGGATGGAAAACAGCGGAAGGAAAGAAAGAAGACTGTCTCATTCAGCAGCATGCCCACTGAGAAGAAGATTAGTAGCGCAAGTGATTGCATCACTGCCATGGTTGATGGCTCTGAGCTGAAAAAAGTGCGATCCAATTCGCGCATTTACCATCGCTACTTTCTCCTTGACGCCGACATGCAGTCTTTGAGATGGGAGCCTTCAAAGAAGGAAGTAGACAAGGCTAAAATCGATGTAAAATCTATCAAAGAGGTTCGGACAGGCAAAAACACAGATACTTTTAGAACTAATGGAACCTATGATCAGATTTCGGAGGACTGTGCTTTCTCTGTCATTTTTGGGGAGAACTATGAGTCCCTAGACTTGGTGGCGAACACTGCAGATGTAGCCAACACGTGGGTCACAGGGCTGAGGTACCTGATATCCTATGGGAAACATACCTTAAATATGATTGAGAGCAGTCAGAACAACATGCGCTCATCGTGGTTAGGTGAGCTTTTTGATGAGGAGGATACTACAAACAGCAAGCAACTTTCTATATGCACTGCTGTACAATTAGTCAAAAAGTTGAATCCGGGACTCAAAAATGTGAAAATAGAACTGAAATTCAAGGAGCTGCATAAAGTTAAGGACAAATCAGGTTCGGATGTGACAAAAGAGGAGTTCATTGAAGTCTTTCACGATCTTTGTACCAGACCAGAAATATATTTTCTCTTTGTTCAGTTTTCCAGTAATAAAGAATTTCTTGATACCAAGGACTTAATGATATTTCTGGAGGCAGAACAGGGAATGGCACAAGTCAGCGAAGAGACCAGCTTTGACGTAATTCAGAAATATGAGCCATCGAAAGAGGGCCAGCTCAAAGGTTGGCTGTCTTTGGACGGGTTCTCTAACTATCTTATGTCCTCAGAGTGCCATATATTTGACCCTGAACATAAATCAGTCTGCCAAGACATGAACCAACCCTTGTCCCACTACTACATCAATGCATCACACAACACCTACCTGATAGAAGATCAGTTCAGAGGCCCCTCTGATGTGACAGGCTATATCCGTGCTCTCAAGATGGGCTGCCGCAGTGTAGAGCTGGATGTGTGGGACGGACCTGATAATGAACCTGTAATTTACACTGGTCACACAATGACCTCACAGATAGTTTTTCGCAGTGTCATTGACGTCATTAACAAATATGCCTTTGTTGCCTCTGAGTTTCCATTGATACTGTGCTTAGAAAACCACTGTTCCTTGAAGCAACAGAGAGTCATGTTCCAGCACCTAAAGAAAATCCTTGGAGACAAGCTCCACCTAGATCCTCCGAAACCTGAGGACTGTTACCTTCCATCTCCTAATGAACTGAAGGGGAAGATCCTACTGAAGGGTAAGAAGTTGGGCACAAATTGCACTGCTTCAGAAGGTGAGGTGACAGATGAGGATGAGGGGGCAGAGATGTCTCAAAGGATGAGCATTGAGACTGCTGAACAACAGACAGTTGCACTCAAGAAATTTCAGCTGTCCAAGGAGCTCTCTGATCTGGTGACTTTGTGCAAGTCTGTGGAGTTCAAAGACTTTCCAACATCTTTCCAAAAACAGAAGCATTGGGAGCTGTGCTCTTTCAATGAAGTCTTTGCCAGTCGTTGTGCCAGTGAATTCCCAGGTGACTTTGTTAACTATAACAAGAAGTTCCTAGCACGGGTTTACCCTAGTCCCATGCGGATTGACTCCAGCAACATGAATCCACAAGATTTCTGGAAGTGTGGCTGTCAGATTGTAGCAATGAACTACCAGACTCCTGGCCTGATGATGGATTTAAACATCGGCTGGTTCCGTCAGAATGGGAACTGTGGTTATGTGTTGCGTCCAGCGATCATGAGGGAGCAGGTTTCATATTTCAGCGCCAACACTAAAGATTCAGTGCCTGGTGTTTCTCCACAGCTCTTGCACATCAAGATTATCAGTGGACAAAACTTTCCAAAACCCAAAGGCTCAGGTGCCAAAGGAGACGTAGTAGATCCCTACGTGTATGTCGAAATACACGGCATTCCCGCCGACTGCGCTGAGCAAAGGACTAAAACGGTCAACCAAAACGGGGACAACCCTCTGTTTGACGAGAGCTTCGAGTTCCAGATAAACCTCCCCGAACTTGCAATGGTGCGCTTTGTGGTGCTGGATGACGACTATATTGGCGATGAGTTTATCGGTCAATACACAATCCCGTTTGAGTGTCTGCAGCCAGGTTTCCGCCATGTTCCGCTGCAGTCTCTGACAGGGGAAGTGCTGCCACATACCTTATTGTTTGTTCATGTGGCAATAACCAATCGAAGAGGAGGCGGCAAACCTCACAAAAGGGGGCTGTCTGTACGAAAAGGCAAGAGGAGTAGAGAGTATGCAAGCATGAGGGTGCTATTGATCAAAGCTCTGGATGATGTCTTCAAAACAGCCATTCAGCCACTGAGAGAGGCAACAGACCTCAGAGAAAACATGCAGGTAAGGCATGAAGTATTGATTTTTTTTTTTCCCACCCTTTTTTTTGTGTGATTAACTAGAGTGGGTCTGAACTAACAGTGTCATCCAAGATATATATTGTACTGCATGGATATGCATGGAAAGTTTATGTCTGAACACGTCTGAACAGTAGACTGAACATAATCTGTTAATTATAACTAGATTTAAGACATCTAAAGTAATTTAAAACAGCGGCCCCCAACCTTTTTTGCGCCACAGACCGGTTTGTGCTCGACAATATTTTCACGGACCGGCCTTTAAGGTGTCGCGGATAAATACAACAAAATAAAACTAGTACCGGTACCGAAAAAAAGAAGATTTATTCATAACACACGTGAAAAGACCCAGGAAAACAGAGTTAACGATAAAAACTAAAAATAACGCTGAAAACCGATTAAAAACCCTGAAAACCATACATTTCACACCTGAGCCTCTAGTCTCGCGGCCCGGTACCAAACGACTCACGGACCTGTACCGGTCCGAGGCCCAGGGATTGGGGACCGCTGATTTAAAAGACTTCATCTTTGGAAAGGAAACACAAAAACCACCACCCTGGACTGAATTAGATTTGACCAAGTCCTTATGTGTGTCAAAGAATGGAGAGAAACGAGCAAACATAATGGTGAGATCCATGTTTTAACGATCCATGTTATAGAAGTTATTCATAACTTCTATTGTGTAAACTGGACCACATTTTTTAATGGTAACAGTGATGGAAAAACAATATAAAGCTGTTTGTTTTAACTGCTTAGCTTTAACCCACAGTATTTAATGGACTCCAGTCCAGACATACTTACTGTGATCCCTCTTTTCAGAAAAAGAGGCATTTATGTCATTGTTCAAGCTTTCAAAGGGCTGCATAGGAAATACACTGCTCGAGTGTCTCTGCACTGTGGATGGTCTCAGGTTGTGTTTCTTCAGGCGTTGTATTAGGTTTTATTTTGGTAGCGTTGTTTATATTGCGGTCGTTGTGCGATAACAAGCCACTGGCCTTGTGATTATAACACATCTTGGCCCTCCTGCCAGTTTTTCCCTCTGCTTGTTTATGTAGGATTTAAATTTGGCCTTTCACAGAAAGGTTAGGGTGTTTGTGTCTCTGTGTGTGTGTCTTTGTGAACCTGGTGTCAGTCCAAAAGGATTGAGTGTTTATGAGTGGCTTATAAGAGCCAAAATGAAAGTTCCCACAGGTAATGAATGAGCTTCCAGGCGTTTCCTTTGAGAAAGTGCTGTTCTGTGCGGTCGTGGGGCAGATGAAGGGCATATTTTCGAAAGCTGGAATATTAGGTTCCTTTCCTTTTAGACTTTTTGTAATGCTTATGCCATTTGATGCATGTTTTGCTTGGCACGCCTGTGTAAACCAGCATAAGTTCATGCAAGCTCGACTGTAATTACGCTTTCTCCATTCTCTGCAGAATGCCATAGCGTCCTTTAAAGAGCTGTGCGGCCTTTCAGCGGTGGCTAACCTGAAGCAGTGCATCTTGGCCCTTTCCCCTCGACTGACTGGGCCCGACAATAACCCCCTTCTGGTGTTCAACCTCAATGAGCAGTACCCCAACTTAGAGCCTCAAGGCCTGCTACCAGAGGTCCTAAAGAAAGTCGTTACCACATATGACATGGTGAGCAGTTTTTTGCATGATTCATTTACTTTATTTACACAGCAGTAACTCTAGTGAATCTCAAAAATGACAGTAAATAAAAAGAGAAGAGAGGCATTCAATTCCATGACGTGAAATAATGTCTAGAAACAAAGTAGCAGATATAATTTAATCTCTTGTCGTCTGGATCTAAGTGTGTTCTGTCTTTGTTGTCCAAACTCGTGGTTCTTTTGCAGTGCAAAGAAAAGAAAACTTGATTTGGATTTGGCAGCAACCCATTCCACTCATGCATGCTTTTGCCACAACAGGAAGGGATGATCTAACCAGGCAAACCAACGCCAATCAGATCAATACCTGGGCTTACTGACTTAATGGGGACACATAGAGATGGTTAGGTAACAGGGCTGAAGTTCAGTTAAGTAATAAAATCAATGTTTACAAGTTATGCAACATGCCATTGAGGCTATTCCCAGCTACACCATTAACCTTAAAAACACGATGTTCTCTGACATTGATTCTTGGCACAACATGAACAAGGAGGCAAAAGCGATTTTTCTAGCAAAAGCGCAGCAACAAGAGAAACTATTTTGTCTCTGATTTTAAAACTTAAACACATAGATTAGGTATGAACATTCAAGAAAAGAAAGTCCAAAATCTTTTTTTTAAACCAGGCTGTAAATATGATTTTTACTGCTGGAACGATGGACGTGTTAATACAAGACTGGCTTACCTACTAGTCCCATGTGGCTCTTTTGCCTTTAGGTTCAACTCTGGATTCAAAGAACGGGTACACACACCTGTGCATTTGCATTATTTCTTATCCAAATGATACATTATGCATTAAACTAAAAAAATGGAAATGGCAAAAGCTTCATACCTTGCAACTCAAGGACGAACATAGGAAAAGGACTCTGATGCAGACCGATTAAGGTGACCCCTCTGCTCTATTCAGACATGAGAATTGAAAGCTAGGCAATTGGCCCTGATGGAAGGAGCGCCAGGAAAATTGAGTTGGAGAGGAAGAAAGAAGAAAATGACGGGTGTTTGGGGACTAAAATCAAATAAATTAAGATCAAGGGCTTAAGTGGTGTGAAGCTGCAGGCCTTGATCATCAGCAGAGTGCCAGAAGTGATGGCAAGCAGAAAGGCGTGGCGGCAAAAGATGAGCCGACAAGTGCATACGTGTAATATAAGAGGGAGTGCAACCTTAAAATAATGTTAAATAATGTATGGATAAGTACAATTAGAAATTCTGATAGTGTGTCAAAACCCACCGCAGGGAGTAGCCAGGCTTTCTGCTCCTGATTGGGAAAATAGAATGTGGGTCTCAATGCTGCCCATTTGTGTGCTAAGAGAAAAAGCTGGAGAGACTCAGTAGTACGCCAGCTCGAGCTCTTAGGTAATATGGTCCGATTTCTGTTTGTACTCGCAACAGATTAACTAAGGGCACAGAGGGTAGATGGAGAAAATACAAAGTCTTTGAAACACTGAACCAAGGGGACTTCAAAACCCATATGTTAGGCTTTTATTGGGGAATATCTGCAGTTCAACCGCATACATCAAACAAGACTCATTAACATGATATTTTTAATAACATTAAAGTTGTTGTTCACAATATATTCTCTTTTTAGTTTTGGTTTGCAGAAATGTATCATTAAACTGACGTCACCTTGAAAATAAAAGACCGTTTGTGTCTTCGTTAATGTGGGTGGTAATAATAATAATACAGACGGCCATAACATTTAGAGGATGCAGTTTAGTGTGCAAATAGGGAGCAGTCCACCCACTTACCTTACTAGAATATGCCTTTAAAGACGTTTGATTTGCTGTGTCTGCCACCAAGACAGTAATTTCTTTACCCATCAGGAAAGTAATCACAGTGTGTGAGGCAGCTTTAAGTGCCGCAACTGCAGCTGCAGAGTGAGACAAACAGCCACAGTCACTTAGTCATGACTGCCTGTGGAAGAACATGGTGAGTCACCATATGGGTTTGTGCAATGGTGTCTGTCCCCCATGCTGAGCACAGTATCAGGCAATGACTCTGCATAGTCATGCTTCGGGGGAAAAAGGCTGCACGTTCATATTTATCTTTAGAAAACGTCTGCTGTGTTCTCACTTATTTTCTTAGAGTGCGTTAGAAAAAAAATCGCAGCTCAGGCTGTGACAAGTCTGTCGACATGCTCATAAGGGATAAGGCTGGCATTATTTCATATTTTCCTTATTAACACATCTGAAAAGACTAAAACGGTAGGAACAAACAAAGCTCTGTAATTTCATGGATTATACACCCTCGATTCCTTTCCTTGTATCCTCCCCTTGCATCTTAGTCCTTCCTACCAGAGAAGAGAGAAGAATCGAGGTAACGGGGATTCAACAAAACGAGACATCCTCGCCTCTCAGCCATCATTTTAAAGTGATCCAGAATAAATTAGGCACAGCAGCAACATAAATTTTGTTGTAGTCCAACTACTGCTGTATTTTATTGATTCAGATGTGTGATCACATGATGCAATTCACACCATGGTGCACTGTGACAAGGTAGGCTATCATGCAGGCGATTAACCAAATTGCAAATAACTGAAACGGCATGCGAGTGCAAAGATCTAGTTGTTTGTGGTGTTGTCGTGTCACCTGTGTTTGTATAGGTCAGCTGTGTGCCACGCCTTTTACATTCTGATGGTAAAATCGCTTCTGTGCATCCTCGAGTATTACTCCTCTCTCCTCTGTCCTTGAGAAGTATGTTAGAAATGAAGGCATCCTTCAACGTGGTGTCCAGTGATGGATTTTGGAGTCACAGGCAGGAGGACGGAGAAGATTGCGAGGCACCAAATCGAGAAATGAGAAAAGCCTAATGTGCTTCTGGAAGGAAGATATATGGTAGTAAAATGTACCATAGTTTTGATTTTGTTTAAAGAGACAGCTTTATTAAATACAAACCAGACCTGTCGCACTTTTTCCAAATTCTCCCTACGTATCTTTTGTAACTCGGCAACAAAATTCAGTTGCGGATAGAAATTTCGATGTCCGCTAAGTAACGTGTGGTTGGCGTATGCTGAACATGACACGCGAAGCAGTCACAAACAGAATACGTAATATTGCATTGCAGGATGATGATGAGATGAAGATAATATACACGAAAATCCAAAGAACTGTTAATCATCAGTGTATGTGTGATAATATTCGTGCAAAGTTTTGTTCAGATTAAGCACCAGTTAAGGACGAGGCGGGACTGCGTCATTACAGTAAGACTGTCAGAGCAGTGAAGTACAGCCTCTGTTGGATTAAGTACTATATATTTTCCCCTCTATCCCTCTCTGTACGAGCCTCCCTGATTTCCCTCTTCTCTGGGATCTGGCTGGCAGGCTCCAAAGATTGATGTTGGGGCCACGGTGATGCTTGTTTTTGGCTTTGTCTCTCCGATCTCTGCAATAAAACACTGTTCATCATTCCTTAATTTCCATCTTGGCAGCTGAGCCGGGCCGCCTGGCTTCTCTATATGCTTAAGTCACACCGGGAGTGAGCAAGTCAATTACGACCATGCCGCACCAGTAACCTACAGGCACTTAATTGAAATCAAAAGCGCAGTAACATTAGGGTATAAATAGCATCCCCATCAGATGAAAGAAAATTAAGCTATTACTAAAATAATTGTGGCAAAAGATCCAGATGGTCTGCCAGGCACCCTGTTTACTCCATGCTTATTTACCCCCGTCTCTGACAGCCTACATATGCACCATTAACCTCCTGAAACAACATGCTGCTGCTGTCTTCCTTGTGTTAAAAAAATGTTTTTCGTTATTTCTTTATTTCTTTTTTTTTTGTTTACCGTTAGGAAGAAGCAGCGCTGGCATTTAATATGTAAATGGATTGCCACTAGAGTTTCAACAGTCTGCAGGTCAGCAGAGTTTGTGCACTCAATTAGGGGTGCGCATAAGACCAGAGGAGCTAAACTTAGCATCTGTCGCAGCTGCAGCTTCACAGAGAACACAGTAATGGTGTTGCTGCTTGAGAATGACTGACATGTTTTTAATTGAAATGACCTTAATTATCAGCACTTCCTTTGAAAAAAAATACTTTCCAACCAAAGTCAGATTTGCACATATATATTTTTCTCATTTAAAACATTTAAAACAGGACACTGCTGGTGTTTTAGGGAAGAAAAGTAACTTTTAATAAACAACCTAATTGCTTGTGTCTCCTACCCTCTAATTTTGGCTTTCAAAAATGCAATTTAGCAGCCTGGCCCACTCACATCCCCTGTAATAACAACTTGTTTTCTAAGCACTCCCTGGATAGAAACTGCCTGCTAGCAGACAGACTTCCTGCTTTGTTGTGGGATGCTAGTTTTGCTGATGTGGAAACTAAAGGCAAATGTGAGCAAATATGTTCGTGTGCTTTCAGGTAATCCAGACCAGCAAGACGCTGCT